ACACACACACACACACACACACACACACACACACACACACACACACATAGTTTGGTCCAGTCTCCACTAATATGAAGTATCGTGGAGCTCTGGGTGAACACAGACGGCTACAGTATGCGTTTCCTCATTCAACAACGTCAGTCATGACAGGAGGAGCATCTCAACACTGATAGGCTATTGCAACACAGCGGCACACGATTTTTTTCGCCCGAGTTGAAAAATGTCAACTCGCGTCAATCACGCCATCGTGAATGCGCGTCACTCCAGTATCATCGCGTCGTGCAGAGACTTTGTATGTGATCTGCTTGCGCCAATAATCAGGGGTCACCAATAGGTCTAGGTTTCGGACGCCGTTGCATCCGGATTTGGACCCATAACCGATGGATAAATTGATGATAATCAACGTTTATCTTAGTTATTATTATTCTTATTCAAATAAAATGTGTAAACTGATCATAAATCAGCCACACAGAGAGAACTTCTTTCTTCCAGAAGGACTCAATTCGGTGTGAAATGAAGATTCTCACAAACCTCAGAGTTCAGCCTCACCGGCCAATCAGAGCAGAGCATTCAAATAAAGCAGTTTCTCACCGTGTCGGTGAACTGGTAGGCGATGAACTTCCTCATCAGGGCGATGGCCGTCGCTCTCTCCTCTCCGATCTACCAAGACAGGATATGATGAGGTCATGTGTCTGTGTGTGTGTGTGTGTGTGTGTGTGTGTTCGTCCCAGATGAAAACACACCTTACACTTCACCGTCCACAGATTGGGATCCCTGATGAAAACAAAACAACATCGAAACATTCAGAAAAAGAAACGTCCTGATCTACGAGCGCAGGTGTCTCAATGCTGATTGGTTGATGACCGGTCACACGTACTTGACTCCAGGAAGTAGTTGCTGCTGGGTGATGTCATCGGAGAGCTCCTCGGACCCTCCAGAGTAGCTGCACACCACAGAAGAAGAAACAAGAGGGTTACGATCACGTGCAAAAGTTGTTTTTGAGATGACGCTTCCTGGTCGAGTGAAAGTTTCAAAATAAAACGTCAAATCAATCAGAGAGTAAAAGTTCTTTAATACTTCAATAATGTTTCATCACTGATGAGCGAACATCGATGAAACTCAACACTTCCTGCAGAGCTCGTAAATTTGTGAGTTTTTTTCTCTTAAATTTACGACTTTAATCTCAGAGAATATCGGACTTCTTTTCTAGTAAATATTTAATTTCTTTCTCGTAAATAATTAGTGCATTAAATCTCAGGAATATTAACTCCTCCACCAGCTCTGAAGTTAATATTACAATGACTGAAATACTCTAAACAAACAGGTTTGATTCTTTCTGCAGCTGAAGGTAAACGACGGTGAGTTTATCAGACGTCAGAGTTAAAAGATCAAAGATACTCACTGCTCCCCTCCGGAGGATTTGGCGTATTTCCTCATGTAGTATTCACCCAGCGCCTCCTCTCTGGAGTCTCTGCAACACACACAGTCAACATGCAGTCAACACACAATGAACACACAATGAACACACAGTCAACATGCAGTCAACACACAATGAACACACGATGAACACACAATGAACACACAATGAACACACAATGAACACACAATGAACACACAATGAACACACAATGAACACACAATGAACACACAATGAACACACAGTCAACAGTCAAGCTGCACAAGCACTGAAAGCTTCTTGTCATTGAGCTCGTTGTGAAGCAGATTAAAGGCTTTTGATTAAAGAACAAGAGAAAGAGCGATGTGAAGGCTTCTGTTACCTCCAGAGGTTCTGCAGCCGTCTGGACCCGGAGTGGTCTTCATCCAGAACCACATGGTCGATGTTTGACACTGAGAGGGACAGACAGGAAGGGGTTAAACTCATGTTTCATGTGAAACTAAATGAATTGAGAGTAAAATAATCAATGAATAAAGTTCAGAAGAGACGTACCTTCAGCCTCCTCTGCTCAGGACCGACCAGTGAGAGAGAAGGAGGGAGGAAGAGGAGGAGCAGAGATAAAGGCAATAGATAAGGATCAATGCAAGGAAACAGGGAGCAGTGAGAAACGTAGGAACAGAGACGAGGAGGGATGAGATAAAAGGATGAAGATGGTGGAACAAGCAAAAAACAATAGAAGAAGAAGAGAAAGAGGCAGCAGGAGAAGAAAATAAAGTTGGATTAAAGCGAAGCAGCAGCCAAGAGGAGGATGAAGAGGACAGAAGCCAACATTCATCATCATCATGAAGCAACAACACAAAGCATGATGGGAGAAAACACAAACACAAACAGATTAATGGTGACTGTACGGCACAGAAATAATAAAAACACAACAAAGACCGGTGAAGGTTAAAGTGAAACTACAGCAGAAACAAAACACAATGGATCAGAAGACTCACATCGTATCTCTATAAATCTCTTCATTATTATGTTTAATGAAGTATAATAATGTTCTTAGAGCTCGTGTTAGAAGGTAAACAGCTCATAATTCATCTCTAATATCTGTTTTATATTCATGTGAAAACAACTCCTTCAGACTACTGGATTCATTAAAGTTTATCACCAAAACTACATTTTACAGATGACATGTGAACACATCATGATAACGTTATAATGTACCTTCAGCCAGTACTCATGTTCACTGAGCAGAGCCTGAAGGCATCATGATGTAACTGAAGTGAACCTCCTGTTGGTTAGCCGTTAGCGGTGCTGCTAACGTTACTAGCTCTCCTCCTGTTGCTTTAAACACTGATTGGTTGTTTACAATGAAACATTATCAGAGACTAGAAACACATGTTCTACTGAGTTAGTAAAACTTTATTTACACTCTGATGTTAACGTTAGACTGTGGAGTTAATCTGTGGTTCACATTCTGTTTATTATAAATCACTGTGAGTAAGATTTAAGTTTAACTTTCATGTTATTTTTAAGTATTTCTTGACATTAAACACACAGGAGTGTCTGCTGTCACAATGTTTATGATAACTGTTAAAAAGGGGCGGAGTTTGTTCTAACCAATCAGCAGTGAACAACCTATCCGTCCCATCCACCTCATTTTCAGTCAACATTTTATATTTAATTCTCTTAAACATCACATCTGTTGTTTCACTATATTTGTCAACAATGTGTTGGTCTGTCTCTCAACACGGTCTGACTTCCTGTCTGTGGTGCATTGGTTCCTACTGAAGACTTTAATCTTTAAAACCAGAAATATATAGTTTCATCAAACAGCTGGTGGTTTTTAATCACCTAAACAGGAGGAAATGGAGCATTTCTGCCTGCAAATCACTGACTGGTTCAGTTTATTTTTGCAACTGGATAAACAGAAGTCATTGAACGCAACATCAGACCTATTTAAATGCAGTTCAGAGGTCTTTGAACGCAGCAACGATCAAGACATTTCACCGGTTCTGATTTTGTTTCTACTGTACTTCTGTCGTTAGTGATTCTATGCATTACCATGTGCCACAGAAAAAGCTCCAACCACAGCGGTTAGTTCAGAAATAAATAAACATGGCAGCCGTCTACCAGGTAGCAGCGTCGGGCAAATGATCACACTGGGTTCTCTGAAGGTGGAACTACGATAACACAAAACCAGATTCATTCTGAAGGACTGAAACAAGACTTTAAGTTTCATTCATGTGTTCACATCTGGTTTTATCTCACTATAAAATGTGAACAAACATTTGCTACAAGGCATTTTAGCTTTTATAGGCAATTAAATGTAATGAAGTGGTGGATTTGCCCTCAGTGCTTCCTGGTCGTTGAGCCTCACAAATACAGCTGAGCTGAGATGAGGTGAGTTAACACTTTCTGGGAACATGGACTTTATCTATTCCATCTGCTTCAGATACGAATCGATATTAAAACATGGAAACATGGCGAGCAGGAGAGTATCTGGAGTAGAATTACCGTTAACTGAAGAGGACATGCATGACAAGAGACAGAGAGAGAGCGTTAAACAGGCTCTCTGCTGCACGTCAGCTTTAACACCCTCAACAAACACGTCGAGAGGCCGCTTCACACCTCAAGGTCCAGACCAGCTTCTACTGACGTTGTTTACTTCTGATCCGCTTTGTTTTGGTTCCACACTGCAATCGATTACACTGAAGGACTCCACAAGACATACCTACGCCCCGTCTCCATCAACTACGCCCCGTCTCCATCAACTACGTCCCGTCTCGCCTCCTACCCTTTGTCGTCCTCGCCTACGTCCCCTCATCGTGGCCTACATCCCGTCGTAATCACCTACGTCCGTTTGTAGTGGCCTACATCCTGTCTTCTACATCCTGTCGTCGTCCCCTTCGCCCTGTCATTGTCACCTCCTACACCCTGTTGTCATCACTTAGGTGAGCAGCATCTGATACTTGACATTGATTAATTTGTTGACAGGCGTGCCTCTGATGTCGACACGTGGCCGTCTATAGCAGTTCGAATGAGCGGAGAGAACTCTTTATTGAGTCGCCATGCGATACCGCGGCTCATTTTGTTTTGTTATGTTTTTTCTAGTTCTGACGACAGCTGTCCAGAACTTCCTGTAATTGGTCCGAAAGTCTGAACCATCCCAAAAAAAACAAATGTTTACGCTGGAAACAAACAGAATCATAGTTCAGTTTGATCTGGAAGGTTTCATATCTGTAATTTTTGTTTTGGATCACCCTGAAAAGTCAGAAAGTCCGGACCAAACGAGGTGTGAAAGGCTCTAAGATCAATTCAGTGCTTTTATAAAATCAAACCACATCATGTAGAGGAAATAAATCTAAACTACACTGAATACAGACTTTAAAGTGACTGTAACAGTCAGCACATTGTAGGACTGTTTGTCTCAGCAAAGAGGAAAAAGGGCAATCAACAACACCTGAAGAATAAATTATAAAAAAGCTCTGTTGATGGCCTCTGAACAGGTCGAGTTCCTCACCTTTCTCCAGAATATCTTCAGCTCCTTCCTCCCACTGATCTTCCTCATCCTCATACTCATCGTCCACATCTGGACAGAAACAACACAGAAGACAAGTGTTGAAATTCGTTCAGACGATTTAAAACTGAAGGAGTAGTCGACTCGTACCGGCTTCGTCCAGGATGAACCCTCCGTGTCTCGGCTTCTTCCTGGGACGGTCGTCGTCGTCCTCCTCTTCCTCCTCATCATACTCCTCCTCATCTTCCAGGTCCTCTCCTTCCTCCTCTGCTACCTTGTCGCTGCCCACGGGGCTCCCCGTCTCCTGCATGTCAAAACAAAGGATCAGCGGTGGAGGAAGTATTAAAGTCCTTTATATTAACATTATTACTAATATAACAACATTATTACATTTGGAACCAGCAAATGTTTTACATTAAAAAAAAATGACTTCAACCATCAAAAATAGCTTCACGTTAATTTTCTGTCAGTACATGAATATTATGTATTTTAATATGTAAAGTAACTAAAGCTGTCAGATAGATAAAGTGGAGCAGAAGTAGAAAGAAATACTCAAGTACAAGTACCTCAAATGTGTACTTAACATCCTACCCAAACAAACTTAAGTACACAACAAATTGTACAGTAATAAAGTATCTATTTGCACAATATTGCAGCATATATTTCACTTTAACGCCACATTAAGTCACAATGTTTACTGTTCAGTTAGCATCGATTAGCGGTTAGCATACCTCATTCTCCTCTACTGTTCAGTTAGCATCACTTAGCTTAGCGGTTAGCATACCTCATTCTCCTCTACTGTTCAGTTAGCATCACTTAGCTTAGCGGTTAGCATACCTCCGCCTCCGCCTCCTCGGCCTCTCCGTCGCTGCTCCGCTCACTCTGGTTGTCGGAGAAGTCGCTGTCCTCGCTGTCAGACATCGTGGAGCTCCGGCAGCAGACTTAATACAAATAATTTCACTTAAAAGATTGAATTAAAAAAACAAAAACAAAACATGGCCGAGCGGCTAACGGCTAAAGCTAAAGTAGCCGCGAAGCATCCGGGTCATAACAATCAAAGAGGGCCTAGCAAAGCATGCTAACATTGGTTTATGATGATATGAATATCTCAGGAACAGCGAGAATCAAACGTTAGCCGATGAGTTGCCCGGATGTTACTTACCCGTTTTAACTCCCGCTTGTGTTTGATATCTTGTTAAGTGACGAATAAAAGCCAATACCGGCTTATTTTCCAGTAGTCTGATGCTCCTCACGTCGTCTTTGGGAGAACCGCGAGATTTCCGAAAGCTGCGTAAACTCTCGCGGGATTTGTTTTGGACGGTATTTGGGGTAAAAGAGGAAGAGGTCTCACTCTGACACTGTTTTTGGAAACCACCACCACGAGAGGCCACGATCTGAAACTACAGGTGCAGCACCAGCCTGGTCCACGGAAACCTTTCTTTGCAAGCAAAACAACACCAATATGGAACAGCCTGAGTCAAGAACCAGTCAGCGCCTCCTCAGTTAACGCATTCAAGACCAGCCTAGGGAGAGAATGGCAACATCATCAAAGCCTACATCAATACATATTCTCCTATAGTTCACCGTCCAGTCTCACGCATCGCGTTACTGCAACCAACAAACCTTGAGACTCAACGGATTTCAGATGAGGATCAAGCCACCACCTTAAGGGCCTCAATACTCTAACGGGTACCCAATGACCTTTACTAAAGGTCATTACTAAAGATCATTTATTTATTTATTAAAGTTTTCTTTAATCTACAATATAACAGGAAATGGAAGTAGCTTAAAAAATGCACTGAAGTAGAGTACTCGAGTAAATGTACTTATTTACTTTCCACCGTTGCAAATATTGTATGTTTACAATCTCAGTTTATTTCATCAAAGACAAAGTACAAAAATACAAAGTTGCTTTGATTCTTCATTTCTCAATTTTTATTAAAAGAAGAAAAAATTGTACATGAACATAATCAAAAGTCTTTAAATATTATTACAATTCACATAAAACATTGAAAATTGGGTTCATTTCTACTTTAACTATTTTGCATTAATGTATGTACAATGTTTTATATATAATTAATATGTTTACAATAAACCCAATGATGTAGTTAACATGTTCAAAATGTATAATGTTCTGTTTAGATAGATAGTTACTTTATTAATCCCACAAGGGGAGATTATTTCGCTACAGCAGGATTTATAGATACAGGTAAGCAATACAAATAGCAGAGTTAAAAAATATGAAATCTAAAAATGCACAATATATACACAAACAATTGGATTAATATTAGTATTAAGTTAACTAACTAAACAATAGTGCAAAAACATTTTGTTTACACTCATTTCAGTGATTTACACATTATCTTTCATTCGAGTCCAAAAAGTAAGTGAATGCTAACAATGCTAAAAAATAAGTGTGATAAAGATTAAATTCATTTTCAACATCAAAGACTTTGGAGATTCCTCGCGGAGTGATTCCTCCTCCTCAGTGAAAACATCTCTGATAACGCGGTGACGTCTTTCCGTCTGACGTTGCGCTCTCAAACAACCAGCCAATCACATCACGCGGTTCAAGGAGAGTCACAGAGTTGCTGTTGTTGATTGTTTTAAAGACTCGTTTCTTCTACTTCCTCGTCGCGTTCAGCGGGGTTTTAAAACCGTCGAAGAAGAATGAACAGCGTCGGAGAGGCCTGCACCGACCTGAAGCGGGAGTACGACACGTGCTTCAACCGCTGGTTCGCGGACAAGTTCCTGAAGGGGGACCGGAGCGGGGACCCGTGCACCGAGACCTTCCGGAAGTACCAGCGGTGCGTGCAGAAGGCCATCCAGGAGAAGGACATCCCGGTGGACGGGGTGGACTTCATGGGGCCCGACAAGACCGAGACCTGAAGGAGAGAGACCCGACCAGAGGATCGATAGAGACGGAGGAGATCAATACGAGTGTGTGTCCACTGAGCATGCGCAGAGCTGCTGCTGAACCTACACACAGGAGCCTGAACTGTGTGTGTGTGTGTGTGTGTGTGTGTGTGTGTGTGTGTGTGTGTGTGTGGCTGATTTAAAACACACAGAACTGATCCTGGAACAGTTTAGATTAGTTTATTTGTGAGTTTATTGAACATGAATGTGAGCGGCTGTTGTTACTGTAAGGCACAAACAGGAAGTCGATTAATGGATTCATCAGAATAAGAGTCTTCTCAGCGATGACGTCGTGTACACAGAGAGCTGCTTTCATGGGAACTTTTTGGGGTTTTGGACAAAATAAGAATTTTTTTCTTTAATTTCTGACATTTGATGAACTAAAGGAATCACACATAACTGAAAAAACAAATGCATCCATCAATGACACGTTGCTGATTATGACACTGAGTTCATCTTTTAAGTGTATTTTCTCTGTAGATTTGAATTTTCTTAAGATTATTAAATCTTTAAATTTCCACTTTACATTCATTATTTCTGTTTTGTTGTTTATTATTATTTTATTTGACATATATATTAATTCTAATATAATTTATATATATATATATATATATAATCAAATTTATATATATGTGGAACACCACTTTCCCCGTAGAAAAATCTCATCTGTGGGCAGATTTAGTTTTCAGACATTTCACATATGATTTAAACTGAATTTAATATCTGTAATGTTCCTACATTCATATAAAAATCACAGAATTGATGAACTGAAGGTCAATATTACGACTTTAATCATCTCAGCTTATTGTTTAAATATATTTTCAGGATCTCTGTTCAACAAATACAACTTAATGTTTAATAAAGTAACATTTAATTGAGTGCATGTATTTATTGACATTAAGATCACATTTTTGTCACGACTGCTCAGCTATCTATAAATATATCTATCTGTATAGATATATCTATATATATCTATATAGAGATATATCTATATATATCTATATAGATATATCTATATATATCTATATAGATATATCTATATATATATCTATAGAGATATATCTATATAGATAGATATAGAGATATATCTATATATATATATA